CCCCAGTCTCCATCTTCCTTGTCCCTTCAGCTCCCCTGTCTCACCCATCCCCCAGTCTCCATCTTCCTTGTCCCTTCAGCTCCCCTGTCTCACCCATCCCCCAGTCTCCATCTTCCTTGTCCCTTCAGCTCCCCCGTCTCACCCATCCCCCAGTCTCCATCTTCCTTGTCCCTTCAGTTCCCCCGTCTCACCCATCCCCCAGTCTCCATCTTCCTTGTCCCTTCAGTTCCCCCATCTCACCCATCCCCCAGTCTCCTCCATTCCCCCAGCGTTCTCTATCACCTTAACACCTCCCTGTCTTACCAACGCCGCAGTTTCCTTTTCCCTCCAGCTCTCTCACCCTGATCTCCAGCACCGCCTCTATCTCCTCCATTCCTCCTCCACTGCCCATCCTTTCAGTCACTCCCATTCCCTCTATCCCCCAGGTTTCCTCCATATGGCAGCATCCCCTGAGTCTGACAGCTACTTTAACGTCTTAATGTCTAAACATGTTTGTGAGACAGGCATGCACTGCCCGTAATATTCTGACAGCCTGATGGAGTGAGGCTGTCTCAGTTAGCTGTGCCGTCCCCCCTGCGACCTGTCCCCGTGGATGTAATGCATCTTCCTGTCATCACTCCGCTGCCCCCTTTGTCCAGTCGATCACAGAGATTATCCATTACAGTTGTCTGAGAGCCCTTATCTTCTGCCGGCAATCCCCGGTCCCCTGAACTGAAATGCTAATTTGAGCAGTAATGATAAACACGTCCCGCGAAGGCACCATGAAGACTGTCAGCGCGCGAGACAGCATGCTCTGTGAGCGCCGGCCCCGATCAGGCAGCAGCTGGCAGGACCAGGAGGGGCGTCGCTGTGCGATCCCAGAGACGGGTCGCTAAAACCCAGCGCCCGCTGCGCTACTCCTCAGTAAGAGCGTTGGCCGTCCCAAGGAAAATTCCAGAAGGACAAAAAAAATCAAGGCACAAGTGTTTCTAAACCCTCAGAGGAGGCAAAAAATAGATCCTTCAAGTGGAGAAATAATGATGTTTGTCATAAGCTTCTGGATAAGCGCATACCCAAGCCACTGTGGAAGCGTGATAACAAAGTCATTTAATTAGTTTTATTCAGCCCTGGAAAGGAAACTCGATGGCGATAATGAGCACTTTTAATCCCAACGAATCTGCTCATCGAGTTTCCTTCTATGGTTTGTCAAGAACCGGTCTTGTTAAACACTCCCGGTCGGTTATTAATTCGTTAGGAGAGATCCCCTAATAAGTAATATGGCTCGTCCTCTTACTTGGTCCGTCCCAGTTCTCAGGGTCTGGTGGGCTTCTGCTTTTCCGTCCCTCGCTGTTCCGGTCTCCAGTCTCCTGGACACCTCCATCCTCATCTGGAAGACAAGACAGTGGGAGGTCGGTCTTTAGATCGATTACACTCTCGCACATGATATGGCTCCTGTCTCCATGGCTGTTGCATCAACGATGCTGTCCGTACAGATGCAAAGTTTTCTACAAGCACAGTAGACGATCGGTTACACTATGTGCTGAAAGTCTTACTCTTAATGTCCTTCTGGCCACTGGAAACAGTTTAACACAGAACACAGATATAAAATAAGGTGCTTCAATAAGTCAATAAATAGAAATATGAGAAAAAATATGTAAACATGGTGCACCGTACACCGGTGAACCAAAACAATGTGACCATCCCCATTTGAAGCAAATAATGTTGACTATCTCATAAAAGTGGTGTATGTTAAGGTCTGGGATATATTACACAGTAGGCTAACATTTGTTTCTCGTAGTTGGCATGTTCAAATGAAATGGACAGGGGTAAAAATCTGAGTGACTTTCACAAATCATTATGGTCAACTCGGTCAGGGAATCGATGAAAAGGCAAGACTTGTGTGGCGCTGATGGTCAGCCATAGTAAGTACCTACTGAGAGTGGTCAGAATAGGGAAAAACCGCAAACTGCTGACAGGGTGCTGGGCGGCCTGGACTCGTTGATGCGAGATGTGAATGAGGGCTATCCCATCTGGTACAAACTAACAGAAGGGCGATTGTGGCACAAATAGCAGAAAATTTTGATGATGATCACGGGAGTAATGTGACATGACACACAGTACATCAGGCCCCGCTGCGTATGGGGCTGCATAGCCGCAGGCCAGTCATAGTGCCCATGCTATCTCCTATTCACCGTCAAAAATGCCTACAATGATCATATAAGTATTGGAACTTGACCTTGCAATGGAAGAAGGTTGCCTGGTCCAATGAATCTCGTTTACTGTTGCATCGAGTGGACGTATCGAGCATCTGTGGGGGCCGTCGGACTGACAAGTTGGATCGACAGCTATGTAGCCCCATATGCAAGAGGGCTCAATGCACTGTGTCATGATACGTTACTCCAATGACAATTATCAAAATGATCTGCAAGTACGCAAATATGCAAATACTGTATTGCAAAGGAGTGGATCGACATACATATGTCAGTATGAGGGAGCAGTGATGTGTTCAGTGGTGTGTGTGAATGCGCAGTGGAGCTGCGGCGTTTCTGTCCTTCATCCACGCAGAACTGAAGACCTTGGCTCTGCCTGCTTGTTTGACTTCTCCCACGTGCACATGAATTAGAGAGGAGTCACACAAACAATGCAGCTTCCTGTGTGCACACCGCCTCTTCCCTAGTTGCACGGATGCGTGTTTCTGAAGGGAATTCCCCGGTCCTTTTGGAGCAGCAATGTGGCTTCACAGGATGACACACAGGATACAATATCTGCAAATCCATCACGCTCGACTTCCTATGCGGAAGCACCTGGACTCGGCTCCCTTAAACAGCTTAAAAGCCGGACCCGAAATTCCCACTGTCACAGTCCCTCAAAGTAGCATTCGCTTTCCAGTCATACAGATGTGGTCCAGTTAGGTTGACACACTTTTACCTAACGATTAATCACCTCACCTGAATCACACGGGAATCATGATTTGAGTAATTGTTATGCAAGACTTAGGATCACAATCTCGCCGATCCGTTAAAATCACACACCACTGCTCACCATTCTGATTAATTAGTTTTCTGTTTATTTGTGAATGTCTAGATCTGCAACGCTTATATTAGATATGAGATAGAATCCACGCATCCATCTTCCAAATGCTTATCCGGATGAGTCTGGAGCACATTCCAAGAAGCAGAGGGCACGAAGCCCATCCACGGCAGGACAAACGCACTCACGCACAAACTTAGCAGGTCTTTAGAAGACTGGAACAGGTCACATTTTCCACTAAAAATGGGAAAAATGGCTGTCTACTTTCTGGTAACTATGCGCTATTTGTGTGACTAAACGTCTTAGCCGTGCTTGTCTTGGTGCATCAGCTTCCGCCTGAAGCTGAAGGTGTGCCCTCAGCTAAATAAACCACGTGGAGAAGCACCCCGGCTGGGTGACGGACACGGCCCAGGGTCACCTTTGCCGCAGGAGTAGTCCATGTCTTCACCGTCGGGGTCCATCTCAGCCGAGAAGTTTCTCTGCACGGGAAGCTCATTTTCATCGAGGGCGCACTCCCCCTCTTCGTCCTCCAGGCTGTCATCCAGCGGCCCTGAGGGGAGGAAGGGGCGGCCGAGGGTGAGACGGTCCTCTGCAAGGCCGCACGTTTCACTGCGAAACATGGCTGGATCGTGGAAAATACACCAGTGCATCAAAGAAGAGCCTGTGTTCAGTGTCCCCCCTTCGCACATTCTGTCTTCTGAAGGACATCTGTGTGTTTTATTTACCAGCATTTTAGAAGGATCGGTGTGAAAGTGGACTGAGGCTGATTGAGGCTCAAGAGTGGCCTGCTGTTGTACCCTAAGTTAGAGCACTCCAGTGAAAAAGCCCACTGCATAAATCTACGAGCTGGTCAGATGGCAAGACTGACGGACTGCAGCCCTGGGCTCTGTACACCCAGCTGTGCCACAGAAGCATTTTAATGGTACAAAAGTGTCTCCCACTATGTGATTCTGCAGGAGTAAGAGCCACACACTGGGCTCAGTGCTGGAGTAGACCGCAGCCTGCGGCCCACGGACCGGAAAACAGCGGCTTCGCTCTCCGTGTCACCGACGGCCCCTGGGGGACACACAGGTGACGTCGGGCGTTTATTAATTTCTTGGCCTTATCCCTGGGAACAGTTGTTGATTTTTCATTTATATTTCTTGCCTTCAGGTGGTACACTAATACAATCAAAGTAGATTTTTTTTTTTTCCATTTGATTAATTTCACCCCCTTAGTGCAGTATTATTCCACTATATCTATATTATTCTGCTTTTTGCTTGTAGCTGTGCAGTTTATTTATTTATATACATATATTTCAACATTTACATATTGCTATTTCCCGGTCCATGGTGGAATTAGCATCACCTGCATTGTATCAGTTTAACGCGCAACGGAAAGCGTGGCGCTCTCGTCTCTCTCCATCAGCCTGCTGCGGGTCTACATTATCAACCAAAAAAGCATTATCACCTATATTCTGCAAAAGAGAGGATGAAAAATCCCGAATCACCCAGATGGTTATAACAACATGCATACACCTCTCCATTTTCCGATAAATGGTACGTTCTGTTTTTCCGATAAATGGTACGTTCCGTTTTAATAAATACCATGGCTTCAGAAAATCCATGGCTTCTATATTCCGTGTCATTCTGACATTTATATGTTACAATATGTAGCTGTAAATTTAACCTGTATAGTAAATATGGAATATTTTCTGTGGCGTTTGAAATTAAACATCTGAAAGCTCACTAACCAGTGAACAGTTATGAAACTGGCGGAGAAATTCTTGAAAAGTGAGTTCTTGAAATGCCGAACAACAAATTTGCCAACTATTTGTCTGATTCCCGTTGCCATTCACTGGAAAAAGAATCGTAACGCACTGTTGCCTGTCATATCATCCATACTGTAGCTGTATCCTCAGAGTACAAAATCATAACATTTAACTGCAGATAGTCAATCAAAAGCAACAGTGGACGCAGTACCTCGAGACTGAGAGCATAAATCGTGAAATGCAGCCCTACTATTAACTGCCCTGTTACAGTCTGTAGTGTATAATTCAAAAGACTTGCACACACCCAAATAAAACACACATCGCGCAAAGCAGCCCATTCGTGTTACCCTACAATTCCAATCATTTGCTAAATTTCATGGGGCTACGCTTTCCCTTTAAAGCAGGAAATGAATTATTTTTGCAGCCTGGCTGCTTTGCAGGCATGGCCTTTGGCCCCATGGGCCACGCTAGCAGTAGTGAGCAGGTTTTATCTTACACCGAGCCTGAATATTGTGTAGTAAGCGGCTGCTATTGTTACTTTAACAAGCCCCCTCAGCTCAATAAAGTGGTAAGTTCAGTTCAAACAGCCGACGTCCTCCCCCCCTCGCCTTTATTCTTGTGCAGGGACTCATAAAAGCAC